GATTTCAAACTTTTATGATAAATGTCTACATTTATTTGCAAAATTCTGTCCGGTTCATCATTCTTATTTCAGGGTTTCATACTTGCTGGACAGGCATTTTATGGCTGAATTACATCCCCAGGCCCGTGTACTGTTAGATGTTCTGTCATTCATTTTCTCTTCTTTTTGCCTTTGTCTTTGTTCCTGAGAAACATCCTGTAATACTTAGAAATCTTTTTTGCAGAAGACTTTGCAATAACTTATTACTTCTTTTTATCTAGTTTGTTATAAATGCATGCTAAGTTATTTGAAAGACATTTAGCTTAATTTTTAACTTACTCAAATGGGAATGACAATTGAATGAATAAGTGTACAGACTCTTAGAAGTATAGAGGCTATAACTTATTCTTGATGGAGAATGGTGACTACAGTTAAATTATAAAAGGAATACCTTATTTCTTGTATTCATGGGGATGATGTGCCATTTGAAAATTGCTGCTCCTGGTGAGTCTTATTTGACCCAGTCAAGAAAATGTCAATGTGAAAAATAGTGTGGACATATTTAATGCACAAAGATATCAGACCCTCAAAAGGATTTAGCCTTTTGAGAATAGATGACAAAAGAAGTAGATTGCCAAAAATTTTGAAGCCAGGAAGAGAGAAATGGTAATTAATAGTTAGATATTATCTCTCCAAGAAATTTAAATATGAAGAGGCAATACATAGGCTTTTTTTTCCTCTTTGCTGTTTGGGGGCTTGCCACCCAGCTCCCAAATAAATACACAGAGAAGTCTTATTCTTACTTATGAATGCCTGGCCTTAGCTTGGCTTGTTTTTAGCCAGCTCTTCTTAACTTGAATTACCATCTACCTTTTGCTTTAGGGCCATTTTATTTCTATTCTCTATATGTTGCTTTCCTTCTTACTCTGTGGATGACTTTGTGTCTGGGTGACTGGTTGGCTGGTGTCCTCCTCTCCTCCTCCTTCTGTTTTTCTCTATTCTCTTTGCCTGCCAGCACCACCTTTCTTTCTCTTCTGCCTAGCTATTGGCCATTCAGCTCTTTATTAGACCAATCAGCAAAGTAACACAACTTCATAGAAATAAACACATGCAACATAAAAGAATGTAACACATCTTTGCATCATCAAACAAATATTCCACAGAATAAACAAATGCAATTAATATTCCACAACAATAATGCTATAAGTAACTTGTATGAAGTTAACCCTGAAGTAGTTTCTTAGTTGAATTCACTTGGAGAAAATTCCTGCTTTATACCTAGGGCTGTCATATCACATTGTGAATTCCTGAGCATGGGAATTAAATTCCATTGTTCACCTTCCCTGAGTGAATGACCTGAGGTAGGAAGTATGTTCATTTAAATAACAGGAAGACATGATCAATCTATGGAAATATAATAGCTTTGAAAAACAGTCACTGAACTTCTAGAACTGTTAAATTTTCTTAAAGCTACAGAACAATATGGATGTAACAAATGTGATAAATGTGTATGCAACCAACACCAATGCATGAATATATCAGATGCTGACAGTTGGTATTTGCATCATATTTTAAACCTGATATGCATTATTTTTTGAGATAAGATATTACCAAGCTGGTCTTGCACTTGGAATCTTTCTGCCTCAGTCACCATATAGGTGGAGGTATAATCATACACATGGCTTCCCTGAGTACAATTTTCTTCATTTATTGCATTGCAATGCCACATGTTAATTCTTTTTGTGGTTATTTTTGAGGCCCTCAATTTTGTTTTGCTACTCCATATGTGTATTTTTGTGTATGAATGTCACTTTAATCATTTTGTACCTGCCATTCTTGACTTTTTGCTCTTTCCTTTAGATGAATAGATAAGCTGAAAAATTATCTACATCTATATATTAATTTAGCTCACAAAGTGATGTGTTTCATCATGGCATACTTTGTTCTCATTCATTCTCCTATACCACTCCCCTCCTCACTCTCATTCTATGTGATCACCTCTAACTAGTTCTTTTTCTTTCTCCAGGTATTCTTTATTTTGCTTTCTTATTGATTTATTGATTCAAGTGCTTACATGTGTCCACTGTCTATTTTCCCACCCTTGATATTTCTGAGTCTCTTCTCATGATACCTTTTCTAGTTTCAGAACACACACACACACACACTCACACACACACACACACACACACACACACACACACACATATATATATATATATATATGCACACACATATAAATGCATAAGTATAATCATTTTAAATTTAGGTTCTGCCTATGAAAGAAAATAAGTGGTATTTGTGTTTCTCAGTCTGTCAGTTTACTTGTCATAAGAATTCTAGTTATATCCATTTTTTTGCACACTTCATGATTTCATATTTCTTTATGGCTTCCTAAAATATCCCTTTGTTTATGTCAGATTTTCTACACGTGTTCATGTGTTGAGGAACATCAACACTGTTTCCATTTTTAGCTACCTAAACATAGATGTGTAAGTATCTCTGTTAGTGTAGACTTAGTGCACTCCAGACACACACTTAAGAATAAGCCTAGTAAACTAAAAGTTGATGTTTTCATTAGATTTGTATTGGAAGCACACACAAATTGTGAATCAATGATGTCTTCATGCTGTTAAAATTTTATACCTCTGAACATTTTATACTTATTTAGTTCCTAAAGCTTTTAGCATGTCTTTTATTAATTTGGTAAGTTTTTCTTTAAGATCCATACTTGTTGGGTTCGTTCCAAACAATCTCACTGACCACCCTGTTATTTTTTTCCACTGCAGAATAATGGAGCTCAATGACTTCCAGGTTCTTGATCCAAGTGCTTACATTCAAATTCTAACTTTACCACTTTGTTGATGTGTCTCAATTTACCTAACTCTAAACTGGGAAGAATAGCAGCATTTATTCAATATGATTGTTGTGGTAAGTAGTTGAGATGATACATACCTAAAATACAATACTTAACACATTCAAGATGCTGTTAGCAATACAAATAAATGTTTTACTCTTATAAAATATAATATTTATTTCTAATTTATCCATAGATTCTTTTTGTTTGTGTTGATACAAAAAGTATCTCTTGAGTGAATAGTGACAATTCTTTCATGGCCTACTTCCTGATTTATCATGTTGGTAAGGACACATTCCTCTTTTGCCAATGGTTAATTGCAAGGAAGTTGTTATTTGCTTGCTTAATTTAGCTTCTTTATAAAAAAGTAAGAACCATGAGCCGATAATTTCAGACTTTCTATAACACTATTTTATCTTAAATGCTATCTTCTTCATGAGCTTGTAGGTTCTCATGCATTGACATAATTCTTCTGATTTCTCACCCCTTATCACATCTTACTTGTGTGCCAACTTACATTATGGGTTTGCATATGTCCTATCACCCTTATCATATCTGAGGATTTTTGAAATTAGGGTCAGAATCTTCTTGCTTTGAATATTTTGTCCTGCTCTAAGCTAGTAGAATAAATAAATAAATGAAAGATATGAAAAATAAATATATAAAATATATTATATATGAATAATAATATTTATGAAAAAACATGAAAAGTACCATCTGGTATTGTCAAATACCTAACATTTATTATGAAAGACAGATAAAAACCTGAAGATATTGTTTTTGTTTTTGTCAGTCTGATTTCACTCTTAAAACAATTTAAGTAACCATGAGTATATATGTAAATAATTAACATATGCAACAAAATATGAATTTAAATATTATTGTCTTTTTTGATTAATTAGCCATAATAGGACTTGTGATAGAGTAGAGAGATAATGAAAGAGCTCCTTCAGTGGGACAACCAGGTCACACATGGAAATGATATTCTATTTAATAGAAAAACCAGGTATCTAGTTTAATTCTCTCTGCTTACATTTTAGGAATGTTCTTTGGAGAACTATTATTCAATAAATAAGGCCACTCAGGCATTTGTAATGTAACTTTTTTATTACATCAATTTTATAACATTAAAAAAATCTAGGTGGAAAAATTCCCATATGGAAAATATGTCTTAGTCATTCCTAGCATCATTCAGTCTTTGAGTGTTCCATAGCTGCTTCATCCTAAATGGATTTGTCCCCTGGGGATCTCTAAGTTCTCAGCATCTAGTCCAGTTGTCATAGCAACTACAAAATGTCTGGCATAAATGACAGATCATTTCTTCCTTGAGAAGAAATAGAACACACAGTTTTATTCTTGAAACACATAGAAGCTTTATTAAACATGTTCTAAGCATAAAGTGTCCTATAGATATTTCCCATTTTTAAATCACACCATTTTTGTTTTAGAAACTTGATTTAAACTTTATTTCTCAAAATATACTTGCATAGATCTGCAGGTTTCTACAGCCTAGCACCTGTTCCTGGAAGCAAGGCTTCCAGCTTGCATTGACTTTCAGGATCTTCTTTCATCAAACACCTGGAGGCAATCGTCTGCAGATGCCAGTCTGTAAGCAGATGCATATGAGCAGGACAGCAGCACTTTATGCCATTAGAACAGCTGGGAGGAAAGGAAAATGAATGTGTTTTGCCTTCTTTTGTGTCATATAAAACTCCCTGAGAGAATTCTCACCTGGAACCTATTTTTCTATCTCTTCTGGTCCTGGCTTGTTTTGATGGAGAAGAAATTCACCTTACTCATCCTTCTAGCTGAGAAGGAAGTTTGTTTTTCCTTGCCATCAGTACAGTGGTGTTTGCCATCAGTACAGTGGTTTGGATGTTGCTCCACAAACATTCTTGCATTTGCCTACAATATTTTCTTCAGAAAATGTGCTTCTTGAAGTGGTTACCAGCGTGATCCCTCCACAGTAAGGTCTCTTGCCCAGGAACACACAGAGACATACATTGGTAATAAAGATACCAGTTTGCATTACAAATGCAGCTATATTTGTTGGGAATTGGTGGGAATTTTTACTTATCATTTTCAAAATATACCTGGAAATAGTTTTAGTGATTAATATTTAATTTAGAATAAAACATTCTCTTTACTATAACATCTGAGAAACACCAAGGATTTTATCACTTTTAATTAATGTATTAGCAAGGTAACAGTTATCAAATAGTGAAACAGCACACATGCATGCAATCCTCTTCCCTAATTCAGTCTCCTCCCTGAGAGATTTCTTTTAAGTGTATTTAAATTGTTTTCCAGTTTAACTCAATGACAGGTAAATATTATGAAGTACCTAAATTTTCTGATTTACCAACCAGGGACAATGTTAAATGTCTTTCATTATAAGAGAGGTGAGTTGGCTGTCAATAGTCCTACATTCCATTTCTCTCTGTGCCAATCTTGTTAGTTATCTTATTTTTTTTAATGCTTTTATTGGATTTAAGATTTCAAACAATACACTAGTAACTCTTCTTGATCTGTTGTGATGTTTAAAAGATATCATTTGAGAATTTTATACATTGTATATTGGTCATATTCACGTCTCCTCCAACTCCTCCCACAGTCACTCACTACCATTCAATATCCATCCAACTTTGTGTTCTCATCCCTCTGCCACACACCCAAACTCAACAAGTTCAGTTAGGGCTGCTTATGTAACGTACTCTTTGGTGTGCGGCCATCCACTGGAACATGGTTGACCCATCAGGGGTCCCACCCTTAAAGAACACTCACTCTGCCTCTGTGGAAGGTATTCCCAACAGTTCCTCAATTATGGGTGGAGCCTCATGCTTGTCTCTTACCTGCATGCTGGAATTTTGTCCCACACAGGTCTGGTGCATGCTTCATAACCCCTATGAGTTTTTGCAACTGCTCTGTAGTGTCCAGAAAGCACTGTTTCATTTAGCCATCCCATCTCCTCTGGCTCTTACAATCTCTCTCTCTCTCTCTCTCTCTCTCTCTCTCTCTCTCTCTCTCTCTGTCTCTCTCTCTCTCTCTGTCTGTCTGTCTTTATTCTTCTTTCATACAAAACATCCCAACCACAGCCCCCTTCTATCCCCTCCTTCCAGTCCTACTCCCCCCCACTCTCCACTGCTCCTCCATTTCCCTTCAGAAAGGATCAGGCATCCCGGTGATATAAACTGAACAGGGTATAACAAGATGCAATGAGACTAGGCATAAACCCACATATCAAAGCTGAACGTAGCAAACTAGTAGGAGGAAAAGGTTCCCACGAGCAGAAAAAGAGTCAGAGATACCCCCATTCCCACTGTTAGGAGTCCCAGAAAAAACCCAAGCTAAGCAACTGTAGCGTGTATGCAGAGGGCCTAGCACAGACCCATGCTGGCTCATGATTGTCACTTCAGTCTCTGTGAGCACCTATGAGCTCTGCTTAGTTGATTCTGTAGGCAGTGTTCTCCTGGTGTCTTCAACCCCTCTGGCTCCTAAAATCCTTCCTTCCACTCTTCTCCAGGGTTCCATAATGTTTGTGTTTGGCTGAAGGTCTCTGTATCTGTCCCATCAACTGCCGGAGGAAGCCTCTCTGAAGACGATTGGGCTAGGTAGCTATCTAAGAGCACGAAGAATACAGTTAGGAATCATTTCATTAGTTTTTCTTCGGGTGGGGGGGCAGTCATGTTTGGTTCTATCCTAGATCTCTGAGCCTTATAGCTTCCAGATCCTGGCTATTCAGGTAGTGTCAGGCATGGGCTCCTTCTTGTGACTTGGGCCTCAATTTAGATCAGTTCTTGGTTAACCACATGCACAAGCTCTGAGCCACTATTGCCTCAGCCCATCTTGCAGGCCTGACAGGTTATGTGGGTTGAAGGGAAGGTTTTTTTTTTAAGATTTATTTATATATTATGTATACAGTGTTCTGACTGCATGTCTGCCTGCACGGCAGAAAAGGGCACAAGATCTCATTACAGATGGTTGTGAGCCACCATGTGGTTGCTGGGAATTGAACTCAGGACCCCTGGAAGAGCAACCAGTGCTCTTCACTTATGAGTCATCTCTCCAGCCCTGAAGTGAAGGTTTTGTGTTGGGGTTGCATGATCCTAATAGGATATAGAACAACTTAGGTAGTGCAGAAATTTCCCTCTTAAAACTGCCGTAAACCACTTGAGGCAAGTGCTTTTCAGATGGTCCCCACAGTGGCTTAGTTTCTTTGTGTTTTCTAGAACTTCACATAAATGTACCAGAGTACCATTGTTTTGTATCCTGGTTCCTCATAATCTCATGATGTATGTGAAACTCAGCCTTATTAATCCATATATAAATAGTTCACAGTTTTCAGTTTATATTTTTGTGATTGTATGAATGTATATTTTTAATAGCCTTCTTTTATTGAGCACATGGACTTTTAGCTTTTGCTATTTTGTATAAAACTACTATGAATAACTTTTTTTGAGACATTGTTTTACAATATAGTCTAGGTGAACTTAAGTGCAAATCTTCCTGTCTCAGCAACCCAAGGGCTAGGATTATATGTATGTGTCACCATGTTTGAGTTGGATTTTTCGTTTTAATATTTAAAAAGAGATGCAACTGCTCTTCAGATAATAACATACATTTAACTTTTTATAAGTAAAATACCCTTGAAAATCAACAGTAAGGGAAAGAGAAGAATGCTTACCACACAGCAGGAAATTATTTGAAGAATTAATGTGTTATATATTATGCTGGTTTCTTCTTAATCACTTAAATAACTCATATGTAAGTAACTTTTCCACTAAAAAAATCAGAAAGTAAAGCATAGTGATAACTACCAAGTAGTATTTAAATGACTGTGCATTCATAGATGGTTAATGATATTACAGCTTTATGGTAAGGTTAATATTTCTTTCTAGGAAGAGATTTCTATGTGTGAAGATGCATTTCCTATGTATATGCTGGGCATTTCAGTTTTAAGATGGTTCTACAATGGTGTCAGTTTGCTCCTTAGAAGTAATTGGGGTGAGAGTCTGTGAATGCTCTATCTCTTAAATTCAGTTGAGCTGCATACCTACACACTTTTCATAAGATAATTTTACATGAGCTCAACCTATCTTCATTGCCCTATTGATGAAAGGGCTCTACTGACCTTTGCCCAGCACAGTTTTTATGCTGACTCACTGAAGTTCAGGGTTTAGTATTGAGGAGCATGAAATGAAAGCCTCTCAGTTTTGGAACCCCTTTTCTGCTCTGTCTGCTACCTCAGTAAAATCAGTATTCAGTCCCCATATTCTATGTTCCTCAAAAACCCACTTCAGAATCAGCGAAATAATGTTTCAAAAGCTATTTTCTTCCATGTTCCAATATCTTGCATTATTTCTTCAGGCAAAGTTCTTGGACAGGAACACCAAAAACTATAGGGAAAAACATCCTTGTTTTAGTATTTTCATTTCTTGTGTCAAAACCTTGCCCATCAAGGTAATGATAAAGTTAAGCTTATGTTTTTCCTTTTCATTTTATTATAGGACACTGAATAGACTTGTGACAAAAGCTCTTTTTGTCTTTTAAATATGGGCATCTGGTATTTCTTACCTATCACAATTGTTATGAAATTCTTACATACCCCTGTACCTCATTTTTCTTTTGATTTAAACATATAAAAGTACTTTAGAAATGATTTCTTAGGTACAATACCAAATGCACAGGGAACAAAAGATAAAATAGATAAATTGGATTACAGGAGCAGCTTCTGTGCTTCAAAGGACAAACATGAGTAAGAGGTCACTGCACAGCAAGACAAAGTATTTGGAAACCATCTGTACGATAAAGGTTTAATATCCAGAATATAAGGAATTATAACTCCAAGTACTTAGTAAACACATTGTCTAAAATGTGGACAAGAAACTTGACTAGACATTTCACTAGAGTGACCTAAATGGGTACAAATTTCAGATTTTCGAAACGAAGACATTCTAGATGTTTTTTTACACAACAGTGTAAGGTTAATACTTCTGAACCTCAAAATATTTTGGTGATCTTTTTGTTATGTACACTTGCAAGTTTGTGTTGAATAGTTAAAAAAACATACACTAATATTTTACAAAGAGTGGTCATAAATCATGGAAAAATGAAGTTAATTTCTTTCCTGCTTCTTCTCCTGAAAGATAGAAATAAAAAATACAGTCCAAAGAGTTTCTTTTATGTGAATGAATCATGAAAGATTACCTATGTTATTTGCAGGAGGCAAATCTCATCAAGAATGAAAAGCTGGTTGTCATTTCTACAAAATCTTCTGTACACTGACATAACTATCATATACAATGTCATTTTTTTCTAGGCATCATTATTATTTTTATTAAATGTTTTAATTTATTTTACATACCAACTACAGTTGTCCCACACAATCCAATCCTCAGAAAAGGGCAGGCTTCTCATAAGAGTCAACAAAACATGGCATATCAAGTTGAGGCAGAACCAAACTCCTCCCCTGCATCAAAGTTGGGCAAGGTATACCAGAATGAGGAATAAGTTCTAAAAAGCCAGCTCATGCACCAGCGTCAGGTTCTGAGCCCACGGCTAGGAGTCCTTCAACCAGACCAAGCTACACAACTGTCATCCATATGCAGAGGGCCTACATCAGTCCCATGTAGGCTCACTAGCTGTTGGTCAAGACTCTGTGAACTCCTATGAACTCAGGTCAGCTGTTTCTGTGGGTTTCCCCATCATGATCTTGTCCCATCTTGCTTGTACAATTCCTCCTCCTCTCTTCAAATGGACTCCCAGAGCTCAGCCCAGTGCTTGGCTGTGGATCTCTGTGTCTGCTTCTATCAGTTACTGGATGAAGGCTCTCTGATGACAATTAGCCTCGAACACACTGGCACAAGAGACAACTTTCTGAATATAACACCATTAGCATAGACACTGAAATCAACAATTAATAAAAGGGAACTTCTGAAATGGAAGAGCTCTGTAAGGCAAAGGTCACTGTCAATAAGACAAAATGGCAGCCTACAGAATGGGAAAAGATATTCACCAACCCCACATCTGACAGAGGGCTCATATCCAAAATATATAAAGAACTTAAGAAAATAGATATCAAAATACCAAAGAATCCAATTAAAATATGGGGTTCAGATCTAAACAAAGAATTCTCAACAGAAGAAAATCAAATGCTGAAAAACATTCAAGGAATTGCTGAACATCCTTAGCCATCAGAGAAATGCAAATCAAAGTGACTCTGAGATGCCATCTTACACCTGTCAGAAAGACTAAGATCAGAAACACTGGTGGCAGCTTATACTGGAGAGGATGTGGAGTAAGGGGAACACTCCTTCATTGCTGGTGGGAGTGCAAACTTGTAAGGCCATGTGTAAATCAGTATGGTGGTTTCTCAGGAATTTGAACCAATGTATCTCAAGACCCAGCAATACCACTCGTAGGCATATATCCAAATGATGCACATTCATACCACAAGCACATCTGCTCAACTATGTTCCTAGCAGCATGTTTTGTAATAGCCAGAACCTGGAAAAAACCTAGATGCCAAATGATAAAGAAAGAGTGGTACATTTACACAATGGGGTATTATTCAGTGGTAAAAAAAAAATAATGACATCATGAAATTTGCAGGCAAATGAATGGATCTAGGAAAAGTCATCCTGAATGAGATAACCCAGACCCAGAGAGACAATATTATTATTATTATTTAGAATGTCAAGTTAGTATTTTTCAGTCTGTTCTGAGATAGTCATTTGGTCTATAATGAGTATTTGATTTGATACCTTTCCAAATTCCAGAAGTTAACCCTTGGCTAAGCTTCCATGGTCACTACTATGTATCTTCATCATGGCACTGTGTGCTGTCCCTCCTACCAGAGTCCTCCAGGCAGGGACAATGTTGGCTTCACCACACCTCTTTCCTCTTAGAGTAGAGAGTGGAGCACAGCAGATACTTGGGAAGTGAGGGACAGTCAATTTGAATTTTTATTTTAAAATTTATAGTATTGAGTTTTAAGTGTATGAGGCAGAATCACAGGGCTTGAAAAATGACAGAACTATCATTTAAATTATGTATTTGTTTTTTTTTCTTGTTAAAGACAAAGTTACCAAGGAGCTGGAAAAAATGACTCCCATTCCCATAAGCCAAATGAAGTAGTGAATGTAGAATGAGGTTCACTGGATTCAGAAACAAAAACAATCAGACAAATAACAACATTTGTAATAACTTTATGTGTATTAGATATTCCTTAATTAACCTATATAATACTTCATTACATAAATCATTAGTGTGTTTTAAGGACCCCCCAAAACAACACAGAATTAGCAATTAAACCAAGCCCCATCAATAAACATGCACTTTAAAGGAACCTTCATGTTTGTTGAAGGCAGAACTCACAAACTAGGCTTCTTTTTCAAATGAAAGAAGCCTCACCCATCTCCCTTCTCAAGAGTGTCAGTTCTTAGGAAACAGTCATTGATACAAACAAGTTAGTGAGTTCTTTATATTTAAGATAGTTTTAGTTAAGTAAATCATTTTGTAATTTTATTAATGATTGGAGAGGTCATAGTTACTCAGAATTTTATTACCCAATGTATTTTTCAATATAAAACTTCTGTCCTGATCTCTGTGAGTACATGGCCACCCAGATCTACCCAAGATTGATCCAGTCCTAAAGAGAAATAGCTCACACAAAGAGGATCTCAGCACCTGGGATCACACCATCTTTCATCCCAGCACTAGAGGGGTATAAAAGATAGGAGCAGGGTCTTCAGTAGTCAATATCAGGCATTCATTCTCCAGCCACATTGAGGACATGAAGACATTGAAGATTCAGGATGCTCCAGCCATGATGAGGAGAGGTTACAGTATGAGGTTTGGTGGAACCAGGATCACCTTCCAGTCTGAGGTAGAGTAAGAGCTAGTGACCAAGCTGTTTTGCTTTTCTGATCTTCAGCTGGAAGCTTGAACCTCAATATCAGTCTCTGGGTCTTTGATTTATTATGTTACACCAAGTCCTATTGAGTTCCTGTGCCCTGACTTCCCTGCATAATGGAGTATTAGCTATAAGATGAAATAAACCCTTTCCTCCCCAAGGTTTTAGTCACAGTGTTTTATCACAGCAATAGAAACTCCACCTAAGGCAATGCCCATGTTTTAGTTCTGGCCCTGTCTTCAGCTACAGAAGAAAAATGGGTCATCATTTGCCCATCTGTTATTATCTGGAGAGTCTATAAAGTACTCACAAAACCTCAAATAAAACTAAGAAATTTGGAAGATAAAATGAAAAAAAAGTCTGTCCCTTGACAATGAAACAAAGCATAATTCCTTAACCATTCTGCAATTTTTCAGTTTGAGAATAAAGCAAATTCCACAAGGACTGACAATTAGTTTAACATAAAGATGTAAGAGAAAGACAAAAAAATGAGGGGGAGTAAAAAATGTGTTTTACCTGCCAAAGTAATGAGAGGTGTAACATTTACCAAACTAATCAGAGGTATACTTCATGGTGAGTATTTGCATCTCCTTTTCCTAGCCAAGGTGAATGATGTGTCTAGTTAAAGAAGCTGAGAAAGAGAAGGAGGAATCATTCAAGGTGGTTGTTCTCATCACAGCACAGCTCCAGGACATGATGATGAAGCCACTTTAGAGTCTGAAGGTAACCATCAACAATGGCAGACACACGGGGGTTTCCTCTGTGAATTCTGATTTTTCTCAGAGCTTTCCAGAAAGAGTATTTCTGGAAACTAGGAAGAGAAGCTTGCAGTTTCGTTGCTGCTGTGTGGTGTAGGAAGAGGAACACAGACCACAACCCGTGCAGAGCTCTTGCCAGGATCCATGCTGGTTCCCATTCTCAGATGTAGGATCAGATAAAAGTCAAGGGCAGAGTAAGCACAGGTCCTAGTACAAAACTGAATTCTACACTGTTGCTGACCTTTAAAGTATTTTAAAATCCTGGGTATTGTATAAAGAAAAAAATCCCAGGAGTGTTAGATCCCAGTGTTTACTTCTGGTGAGTTCAGCCTGTAGGAGAGAATACAAAGGAAGAAGGAAGGTAAGAAGTATCTGTAGGTGCCTACCCAGAGGTCAGGGAAGCCAGAGCTAGGGGGTTCACCCAGGTTGAAGGGGCATCTGCTTCTTCTTGCTGTCTCCTGACTTGCCTGTAAGATGGATCAAAGATGTCACTCTGTTCTCAGGGACACTACAAGGGCCAATTTGGCCATCAGTGTTATTCATGAAAGTCATAGGCAAGAGACAAGTACATGGGACTGTGAAGAAAAATTTAGTCAAAACAGCTGCCGAGACACAAAGGATGAATGCTTTCAATTGTGAAATACTTTAAAAAGTTGAAAATAGAGTCACACATTTCCTGTCTTTAAAAATTGCCTGTCACCTTAGTGGTGAAGAAGTGTGAATAAAATAAGCTAATTTGTAAGTAACTCATTCAAAACAGCATACAGGGCAGCCCGATGCAACTAAGGTCTTGTCATGTTTCACATGTGAGCGCTACTGGTAAGTGTATTTGTACATCATGTGGGTAGACTTCAAAAAATTAGATTTCATAATTGCTCAGGAAAAATATTAACCAGAATACTTATTTTAAACTTCATCAGAGGAGCCACTAGCAATGATAGGTCACGGGGGCACAAGCCTCTGGGTTTAATCAAACAAAAGAAGCCAGACAGTCTGTCCCCTAAACAGGAAAAAAATCTCTTAGGAAATTTCAAGAAAAGTGCACATGCGCAAACAGAAGATTTGGTGGGTTTCCCTGTATTTGAACTCAGGAGCCAAGAGCTGGTGTGTTCTGGGCTTCAAAATTAAGCAATCCTTATAGGAAACATGGAACTCCTAAAACCAATAGAGTAGGGTAATTTAGCCTTAGTGATTTACACTATCAACACAGGAAATATAGCATTCAGCCAGCAGTACATACTACTTACTATGAATGAAAGTCAAATGATGAAAACATCATGAACACACATAGCATTTCACTACCTTTCCTAGACAGTTCAATTTTAAAGAAAGAAAATAAAAGCAAACCCTTAGTATCCTTCCAATTATATTTCATCTCTTTTATAGCAACTCTTTAAAGAGAAATGGACTCCCAAATGAAAAAGAAGCAATTTGAGTTCAACAAAACAAAACAAACAAACAAACAAAAACTATTCATGAGGTAATGAATATTAATGAGGTAATTTATATTTTAATGTTTCTTGGAAATTTCTTATATTTTTGTGGATGACTCTTTTCCTCCAAATTCTTTATATGTAAAGGTTCTTATTAATAATATCTGGATTGATATTATTCCTTATTCCATTTACACTATAGTCACTTCTTTCTAAATATTATTAATAGTGTTTTAGTTGAAAAGAAATTGCCAGGTGGTTGGAATGCTATAAAAATAGTTAAGGTCTCTGTTTCTGTGTGTCAGTAATCCTCCTGCCTCTTCCTGTCACTTGCTGCAATAATAAGAATTGAATTTAGGGCTCAGTTTTGCAGAGTGGGTGTTCTACCCTGAGTTATATCACTGACAAGAGCAATTGATTGACAGTGGTTAGCTAACTAGTAAGAAAGCATCAAATATTTGTAAAATATCAGTATATTAATTGATATATAATTTGAATGAGCTGAATTAGCAGAAGGTTAATTTAATAGCAGCAATAGAATATGAATAGCTTTCTTGTCTTATGAAGGGGATTCTTATCTTATCCAGTCACTTTCCATGAACACTTGGGGCTCTTTGTCAATTTCTCAGGACAAAAGTGTTTTCTAGGTTTCAGTTTCTGAGTAGTCACCAGAATAGGTGGATCTTACTCAGAGAACTGTCTTCATTAGCTTTGTGTCTATTAAATAGCTTCTATAAACCACACAAAATCCTCACACAACAAAACAATTTACCTTAATATTATGTTGTACAGTGTTCATGTTTCTTGTCTAGTGAAAGCTACAAAGCAATGGCCAAGCTCCAGAGCAATCTTCTGCTTTTTTTTCTGTTTCTTATGTGATTCC